ATGAAGCTTCCGGATCTCGGTTTTCTTTATCGTCGGCATCTAAGCAAGATTTATTAATCGTTTCTTCTTCTAACTAAGATTTCGTATCTTCTCGTACGAGTCGCCTAATCTAAGGGAAAAATCCTGCTTCTACTTTAGCAGAATAATGAATTTAGTATTAGTCGTCGTAACAGAATCTCTAGTAAAGGGCTCTATATACGGGTTCTTATCGTCGTGCTATTATATAGATTTGTCGTAGCTCTTCCTTTACGACCTCTACGTAGGTCCTCGGCGCGTTATTAATAGAGTATAGCTCTACTACTATTCGGTAGCCTTCTCTGCCCGAGTCCTTTCGTTGTATTATATTAAACTGTTCGCGTCGCACTATATTCTTGCCGCGGTAGTTCCGTGCTATATAGCCTTCCTTGCTATACGTATAGCAAGTCAATCTTCCTGCTTTCTTAGGCGAACTCTTGCCTTTTCTTCCTTTAATTGCTCGACCCTTCTAAGTAGCGTCTAGCTCTATTAGTTGCGCACCGTAGTAGTTATTCCCTTTTAGTTTATCGTAGGTACTATAGTTTCGTCTATTATCGTATCTAGGAGTATAACTAGCTTTTCTAGAAGTCTTGGAATCGTAACGTCGTTCTAAAGCTCGTTCGTAGAGCCTATCGTCGAGATCGATCGTAACCTTAACCAATGTTCCTATATTATCTATTTTTCTACCGTCGCGTATAAGCTCGTCTTTAACGTTATCCTTAAGACCTCGCCGATATATTGTTATAAGAGCTTCGTCGTCCTAATCCGTAAGTTAGGCGTATTCCTGAAATTTGGCGGCGTAATCGGCATATAACCCCTTCTAAGTTAAATGTTAGATAACCCTAACTGCGGTAGTAACTTCGTTAGAAGATCTAAAGACCTTCTTTATCGTACGCTTAAGATTTTCGTAGCTTGCGAAGATTCTATCCGAATTGTCGGTCCCGTTGCTATCTAGATAGGTCCTAAGAAATAGTTTAACCTAATGCTAAGCCCTGCCTCGCATAAACGTCGTTGCGAAGACTGGCTTTAAGTTATCTTGAACCTGGTTGAACATAAAATATATATCTATCTAGCTAACCTAGGTATCGAATTTGTCTCGGTCGCCGTAATAAAAGTCTAGCTTTCCGATCTTAAGAGAATCGTTTCCGGCATAGGTTCCGAGTATATTGCTAGTACTAGAGGTAGTACGTCGAGTACTGCCTATCTCGCTAAGGGCGGGAGTTCCCCTTCCGACTTGTAATAAGGCACTTATCCTAAGGGCGTTCAAAGTGTTACGGTTACTCGCGACAGATCGTTAAGTGACTTCTTATTACGTGCAAGCCGAGGCTTCTTTAGAGAGGCTAATATAAGCGGGAGGCAGAGACAGAATAATTGGTATAAAGGTAATTCCAATTAGTAAGTAGGTAATATAAGTTGAACGCCTCGAGCTATAAGGGCATTCCGGCGTTCCTAAATACAAAGGAGACATCTTGTCTATAGTCGTAAGCGACGTAAGCGACGCTGTCGCTCTCGACCGCTCCTATCGCTCCTAGTAAGATAGAGCGATAGCTCAGCCTACTAGTCTTAGCGTCGCTCTAAGATCATGTGAGGACTCTAACCAATCAGATCCGTAACACGTCGTTCCTCCTATTCTAGCGAAGCGCCTAACGACAAACCGTTCTATCTAGGCTTAGTTACGGTTATAGGCATACTAACTAGCACTAAATTAACTAAATAGCTTAGCAAATATACACTTTAGCGACTTCGATATATAGAGATGCACCTAGATTTTAATAAGTATAAGAATATCGCATTTTGTAATAATACCGTCGCTTTACAAATGCAAAAGTTATAAGCTACAAACATAAATTACTAGTTGCAGCTATACCGTTTGCCTACCTATATTAGGTTTACTACTATATAAACACTGCACTTCTCGAATATTTAACTAGCCGCGCCCCTTCTTTAAAATACGCTCTATAACCTCCGCTTGTCCTTTTAACTACCTCTTATTTATACACTTTACCGTTGCTTAGTAGGGCAAATCTACGTCTTGTATATAAAAGTAGCACCCGCTTATAAACTTTAAGTATGTCGTATAAGCTCCGCTTATAGTCCGTATATCCTCCTATAACTTTATCTTTAATCTTCCTACCGCCGCCGCCGTATAGATCTACTAAATCTATTAAACTAATAGTATACTCGATAGTACGCGTATACTATAGGAAGAGAGAAGTAGCGCTACCGCTAGAAGCGCGAAGCCGAGAAGCAGGCAAGCTAGCGTAAGAAGCGACTCGAGCGACAAGAACTAGACTAAGCCCCTTTACTAGGTCGTATAGCGGTATCTCGGATACGACTAGACTTCGGTATTCTACTAACAATACTACCTCGCTTGTATTCCGAGTTGCCGCGCTATTTCCGCCGTAGAATCGATAAGATATATTAAGAATCTATAGCTCGTATTTAAGAGTTAGTATAGCAGGCAGGCTAGTTTAAAGAGACGGTCTAATTCTAGCGAGAAATTATCGAGAAGGGTTTAGTTAAGATACTCGATCTAAAGTACCCTAATATAGGATACGTACCGACCTTACTATAGGTTGCAGTCCTGTACGCCTTAATCTATAGCTAGAACGACGTACTATTTATCGCCCGTATAGAAGAGAGTAAGAGTCTGCCTTTCTAGGGCTATGCGCTAATAACTAGGAAGATTGTTATTTAGTATACACTACTTAATCGTCTCGGCGCTAAGCAGGTAGCAGCTATAGAGCGAATAGCGGCTTCTACCTCTAGACTGCTTTATGCTATATATATCTCTATAGAAACGAAGAAGATCGATCCTAGTATATTTAAGAATATTCTCGAGGGTCGTATCTAGTATATCCTTCTTAGTCCTAAGCAGATAGCATCTCCTTAGTTTCTAGCGTTACTAAACGACCCGCGCGTCCGTAAGAGGGTTAGTCTAATTGTCTTCGATAAGTATTACTTAGTATATAAGTAGGGAGAGCTATCTAGATTCCGGAACGAGTTACTCCTAGGTATACTAAGTACGCGACTATCTGCGTACCGATACTAACACTCTTCTTACGTCTACGACAGTAGATAATAAATATATAGAATACATTAAGAAGCATACTAGCCTGCGTAAAGAAGGAGACGGCGCATTCGAAATTAAGGTTATTCGTAGTAGTATCGATTGGCTAGAGGTAATATATATTATTAAGTTTATCCCCTATAAGCACCTTAGCGACTACGATATACTATACGTTGTTATCGACAATGCCGTCGCATATCTAGCTATCGGAAATAGCGAAGATCTAGCTATCGTTAATAGCGATAGTATAGTAAGCATTACCGCCGGGTCCGCTACTCCTTAGAATATACGCAAGTCTCTAGTTTTTATCGATAGTCGTAGCTATATTAATAACTTTATCGATATCGCTCGCAACTAGTTGCTCTATCTAACTAAGGACAATCCGGATCTAACAAAGCGGTACTAGTATAGAGGTATAGGTCCTAGTATAGACGTAACCCGTACTATTTCATTCTATACTATATATATGCCTAAACTAGACTAGGATAATCGATACGATAAGTATTGCAAGCTAGACTCCGATATCTAATATATAGCGGCGACAATAGCTGCTAGTATTAGACTAGATATGCTAGATATCGTCGACGTATACTAATAGAAGTTTAATATTACTCGAGACCCTAGAGATCTTTAATAGCAGTTAGGTCGTATTATACGTCTTATAGCCCGTATTATAGATAAAGGATTCTTTCTAGAGCTACATTTCTATCGCCCTCGTACCTTTATCTTCGTTCTATACTACGCTAGCGATTATATTAAACTTATGCTACCGGAGGCTAGAATGCTCTCTATCCTGCTACTAGAGCAAGCTAATCGTAGTCGGGGTCGTAGAGCTCGTAGAGGTCGTAGTCGTAATCGCGGTCGTAGCGCTCGCGGAGGTTGTAGTCGCTATACTACTAGACCTAGTAGACTACGTAATAAGCTTCCTAGTAAGGATGTCGGTAGCACTTCCGACTAAGAAGACGATATACGTAGCGAAACTAGAACAGATACTAGTAATAATAGTCCTATTAGAAGTATAGTAATTCTAAGTAATAAGGGTAAAGGAAAGGCTAGCGACTATTAGAACGCGAAGGAGTTAGAGGCTCGTAAGAAGATCCCGAAGATCTTTATAGGTACTTTTAATAACTATCTAAAGATTCTAGGTCGATGCTACCGCGTTATAATAAATAAGTACTATAGAGAGCATCTGTCGTAGTACCTATACCCGCTTAGATAGGTAGCCGACGAGGACTGTTATAACTTCTACAACCTAAGCCTTATAGGTAATCTACCTTAGCCTCCTATTAAGCGCGTTAAGCCGATCAATCTACTAGGTACTAGTAGTAGACCCGGTTTTACACTTCCGCGTATTAAGAAATAGTACTTAACGAAGATCGATATAAAGTATCTACGCAAGAATCGATTGTTTCGTATTCTAGGTAGCCTATATATGCTAGATAGATTAATGTAGTCTATATCGGACGTCTTTAAGCTTACTCGGTCGTATAAAGCTTAGGATAAGAGTATAAACTTCGATATAGAAAAGCTAATACAGACTATACCTAGGTTAGTAGATTAGGAATACTAGGATAATCTTAATAAGTTAGTCGCTTTCCTTATTAGTATTACTAAGGATGTCTATACCGATTAGGAGGCAGCTAAGGCCGAGAAGAAGGCTAAGCAAGTCGCGGCCTAGAAGAAGGATAAGACTACTACTACTGCTGCTACCGCCGCCGCCGCTATATTAGATAGCTTAGATAGTCGAAGCGAGTAAGCAGCTTAACTAGTTGTCTCTTAGACCCTAGAGTAGATAGTATAGGCTCGACAAAACCTAGACTAGTCTCTACGGCGGCGTAGCGGCGCTCTGCCTTTATTAATACTATTCGCTAGTCCGGTATCTAACTTAAGAATGCTTTAGCCTCTAGTCCTGCTCCTAGTCCTGCTCCTAGTCCTGCTCCTAGTCCTGCTCCTAGTCCTACTCCTAGTCCTGCTCCTAGTATACTAGGCGATAGCAGTAACTTAGGTAACTCTAGCCCCGAGGAGCCGGCTATCTAGAGCAGTGCTCGACCTAAGAAGAGACAGAAGGGACGTCGTAGTGCTATTGCTCGGTCTTAAGCCTAACTAGGTTCCTCTAAAGTAGGATCTACCGCTACTAAGGTCGCTAGTACCGTACCTTTAGAGGAAGAAGAGGCTATAACTATAGTTTAAGCAGAGGAGGCTTTAACTTAGGCCTATATAAGCCGCCGTAGTAGCCGTAATATTCGCGTTACTAAGCGTAGAGAGAGCGTATACGGAGAGGGTGCTCGTACGAGAAGCTTAAGTATAGTAAGCAGCCGTAGTAGTAGAGTTAACGACGATATCCTGTCCTAGTATCTGCCGAGTAGGTAGTAGAGATTAGCGCTAGAAATGGCACTAGAATAGCGCTAGAAATGGCACTAGAATAGCGCTAGAAATGGCACTAGAATAGCGCTAGAAATAGCACTAGAATAGCGCTAGAAATAGTACTAGGATTAGCGATAAAATAGCGCTAGAATTAGCAATAGAGATAGTGCTAGAGATAGTACTAGAATTAGCATTTAATAAGGTCCTTCCTAACTACCCTTCTATTATGTCCTTATAAGCTCGCTAAGCAGGCTCTTCTATCGTGTCCTTTACGATAAGGGTTTGTAGATAGTTGTAGGTGTCGATAGTCGTAGGTATCGATAGTCGTTTTTTTTTCCGATAGTATATAAGAGCTAGGCGAGAAGCGTAAATTCGAGGAAGCGATAAGGATACCGAGTCCCGCTAAGACCCCGGATTTAGTATAGTAGAGCGCTTAATTAGTAGGATTAAACGTTATAGCTACTTCCTTCCGCGTATTTACAATCCGACTTTTACGACTTTTATAACAGCATATTACTAATATAGCGAGATACGTCGATTAAGCGCATTTCTAGCAAATAGTGCTAACAAAAGTGTCTAATACGATAACGACGGCCGCCTTAGGCACTAAGAACCGCCTCCGAAACCCGAGAAGTTACCGATACTAGCGACACTAGCGACACTAGCGACACTAGTACTATACTTATTATACCGCAGCTATTAGCACTACAATATATATAGTAAGGATAGATACGTAGGGCAATAACATATATCGAGCGCTCGTAAAAGCACCCTTCGAGAAGCTACGATAGCCCTCTTACGTTAACGCCCTCTATTGCTTAGACTCTCCTAGAACGATCATTCCGATAACTAGTTACTATACGAGGCAGAGAAGAACGAGCAGTAGCGTCCGGGGATCTAATTAACTAGCGGCACTAAGCGGCTATAGAAGCATACACTCCGAAGCATACTAGAATTATACATAGCCTATATACTACGCGTAATACGCAACAATTAACGCATTCTATTACTAACTATAGCACGAGGTATATAGGAAGGGACTTATTAAGCGAAACAATAACAGCTTATTCGCTAAAGCGATACTTATTAGTACCTAGACAATAATAGAGTGTAACCGCGCCCTTAGTATTAGAGACACCGCGAAAAAGGTTGTCGAGCGCGTTATAGTCGTATAGCAATATCGATACGCTTACTAGAAGAGGAGGCGCACTATAGTCGAATAGTAGTCTTAATACGTAAAGGGCTATAGTCGCGTAGCAGTACTACAGTCGTATAGTAGTAAAGACTAAGACTAAGCGCCTTCGGGCTTAAGTATACTAGAGGCCCTTACGCAACGACTAAGGTTATTATAACTAACAGTCCTAACGAAGGCGTTACGCCGACTTAACTAGATACGCGTATATTATCCTATAAAGAATCCGAACGTAGGAAGCCTGTAGCCGCTACTTAAGGTATACCTTACTAAAGAGTTTTTACCGAGTTAGGCCTATAGCAATGCTACGAACTAACCTACTTAGTAGGAGAGTCGCTATCGAGCCGCTACTTAAGGTATACTTTACTAAAGAGTTTTTACCGAGTTAGACCGTTAGCCGTATTATAGGTGTACCTTACTAAAGAGTTTTTACCTCCGCTAATCTATCTAAGACCTCTATAGTTTGTACTAAGACTGCGATGTTCTAATAATAACTATACTCTTTCGGTTAAATGCGTAGTCGGCGCCCGCTAAAGCTATAGAAACAACCTACTCGCTAGGAGAGTCGCCTTTGCAACGTCTTGCGTTAATAAAGCCTATCGGAGACTAAAAGGACTAAACAAACTACCTACCGAGGAACCTTAACTATTAGATAAGCGGCTCTATCGGTAGCAAGCCGTAGAACTAGCAAGGAATAGTATTAATCGCTATAGAGCTACCTATATACGACAAAGAGGTATCGACACTATTGCTAAGAAGCCGACAGCTGGTATATTACTAGGGGTGTTAGTATATTAGTATATATAGAAGAAGAAGAAGAAGAAGTTAAACTAGGAAGCGTAGGTCTATATTAGCGTATCGTAGCTAAGGTTTGCCTCTACTAATAGGATTGCGCTATTTACGCTATAATAGCAAGGCAACAATAACGGCTATATATTATCGCACTTTTAACGCAATAGCCGCCGACTGCTGCTAGTCGAATGCCTAAGGCTAGAATTGCTCTACGCTCGTTAGCCGGTTATTAACGAGGCACGCACTCTAGTCTACCTAGGTACGCACTCTAGTCTACCGCTACTACTTTGCCGCTAACCGCTAGTTAGAGTAACGCTAGTTATTAAGCGATTATCGTACGCCTAGCCTAGCCTAGCTATTAAGCGATTATCGTACGCCTAGCCTAGCCTAGCTATTAAGCTATTATTGTACGCCTAGCCTAGCTAGCTATTAAGCGATTATCGTACGCCTAGCCTAGCTAGCTATTAAGCGATTATCGTACGCCTAGCCTAGCTAGCTATTAAGCGATTATCGTACGCCTAGCCTAGCTAGCTATTAAACTATTATCGTACGAGGCACGTACTCTAGTCTACCGCTATTACTTCGCCGCTAGGCGCGTATAATCTAGAGCTGCTATAGGACAACGACGATATTACAGGCGTTAGTTTAGTGCTTAGACAAGAATAGTCCTACCTTAATATATTAAATATTATACTCTATACTCTATACTCTATACTCTATGCTCTATACTCTATACTCTATACTCGACTGCTCTATACTCTATACTCTATGCTCTGTTCCTTTAGAAGTTACTACTACCCTCGGCGCTAAATGTATTACCTATTCCTCTAAGCAGACTAATACTAGTATTAGTACTAGTAAGATCTAGAGTCTCGACTTCCTCGATAATCCGAGCGAAGCTATCTGCTATATCGATCTACGTATTATCTCGCTCTAGATTAAGGATAGCATCCTTAGCTAGACTAAGACTAAGACCTTTACCGAATCGAGTAGTAGCATTAGGACTGTCTAATATATTAGCCTAAAGTACAGTTAAGCGACCCCTTATATACCGCTTATTTGCTATATTAAATGTGTCGACTACGGATAGCATTAGATCTATACCGACCTCGTAGATATTATCCGACAGAGTAAAGCTATTGCCGTACTACTACTTCGCAAACCTATCGATACGAATCTTATCTATACGGTTAAAAATACCTATACTAATATCCTTCTCGGTACGGTAGCTTATACGCTATATACTAGAGCTTTCCTTAAATATACTCTTAATAAGGCGAGAGGACTTACGGTTTATAGCGACCTTCTCGAAGACCGTAGGAAGGCCGTATATTAAGTTGCTAAGGCGTATATAGTCCTAAGATAGGTCGTAGTTATAGAGTTCAATTATCTCGTTAGCACCGATAGTATAGCCTTTCTTGCTAGATAGATTAACGTATATAGTACCGAGGATTGCCTTCTATAGCTTAGGCGTACTGCCCTTATTAAGAAGGTAGTATATATATATTATTAGTCGCCTATAATTAGCTTGTCTAGCACCGATGAAATATAGAACTATATAGTTAACATAGCGGCGGATATAACTAATATCTTCTATACGAACGGCGTATCGGAGACGAAAGAATAGAGAGATCTCCTTTAGCATTCTATATATCGAGGTAAAGGCCGCATCTAGGCTAACCGGATTAGTTGCACCCTCGTCGATAGAAGGGCAATCTAGTATACTATCCTATACCTTAGGTAAAAACACTAGTTATCGGATCTGCTTTACGATATCGAGATAGTTAGATGCAGTTACTTTGTCCTTAATCGCCTATAGGACGACTTTATAACGAGTCTCTTCGCCCTTTAATAGATCTGTTATATCCTCTATAATAATTTTTCGGTCGACAAGAATCTAATAGAAGATAGCGACAATACGGGTATTAAATAAGCGCTTTAGTAGGCTCTATATTCGGAAGAACTTAGGGGACTTTAGATCGACCTCCTTTATATCCTAGAAGTTAACATCCGAGCGTAGGGAAGCAGAGATATTAAGCTTGTCGCCGGCCTTGTTTCTATACTAATTAGTGCGGAACATAGTATAGCAGAGGTTTATAAAGGTATATATTATAGTAGGTACGCTAAGGATATGCTACTTTCTATTATATAGAGCCTTGTTCTCGATACTACCGAATACTATGTGTAGTATACGCTCTACGGTTAACTAATTACCGATATTTAAGATAAGGCGCTTTGCGAAGATCGGGTCCTCTAGCTTTAGTCTAAGGTTAGTTAGGTACAGGTTATTATAGACAAGCAGTATACCCTTATTCGATATCTTATCGTTCTAGGATAGCGGTATTAATAGGATCGGAGTCTTGCCTTTAAAGCTATATTCGATCTCTAGAAATTGCGGGCGGCTAATCCGGTTACTATTTACATTAACGACGTTAGCATTCTTAGCCGCCTTAAAGATAGACTTAACTACATCGCCGAAGATATATAAGATAGCCTTATCTATCTAGAACAGCTCGACTAGCTCGATAGTATCGTCGCTATCGATATTGTCGATAATACTCTAAGGAACGACTAGCTTAGAGCGATTATATATATCCTAGGTTAAGCTACTATCCGGAAAGTTATCGCAAAGCGCGATATACGAGTTAGTAATATTAACCTACTCGTTATTATCCGCAATATCCTAGTCCTTCTTCTTAGATTACCGATTGAAGTTATTATAACAAATCTACTAGATAAATAGTATAACCTACTCTTTAATCTTTAATCTCTAGACGTCGGCATTCTTCTTAATTAGTATCTATATAGTCTTATACGAAGGCACGAGACCTATATTACAGAAGGTGTTAACAATATATACTAGCAGGTTACCGATATATACTAAAAGAAGACTAAGAGATTTTAGTAACTAAGAAGCGCGCTTTATTGCTATCGAATATACTACTATATAGGTAAGCGTATAGATCCGCTTCTATATTATACTACGCTTATCTTCGAACGACATTGCTCGCTACTTAGTATCCTTCCGAGTGTTTAGTAATATAAAGTCTTCGAGCAGGCGGTACTAATTTAGGGCGATATTATAGATTACATCGTATATCTCAAATAGGCGACGTAGTTTAGCGAGGCTATCTTCCGGCTTATAGGCATCGAAGAACTTCTTACCGATTAGATTCTTTACCTCGGACCGTAGCTCGACTATACTAACAAGGTGCTTATTAGGCTAGAGGTCTTATATAGTATATATGCGCTTCCGATGTGTCTTAGTACCCTCCTTACTGCCCTAGATATATATTATCTCCTTAAAGCTAATGCCGAGTATACGTATGTTTACTATAACGGCCTTATACTTCTGCTTCTTAGTTATCCTTAGGCGGCGGTCGCTAGTAACAGTATCTAGCTTAGAATCTTTATCCTCTTTATTATCTATCTCTACGAGGATACGGGCGCCTAGGCGCTAGGTAGGTATATCGCTATTATTATCGTTAGATACGTTGCTATTTCGGTTCTCGAGCTTAATCTCGTCCTCGCTCTACGATTCTTCTTAGACATTAGTATCCTCGTCCTCGGTTATACTATTATTCTCGTTAGGTTAGGTATAGTTAACGTTACGATTAGTATTTCGTAGGCAGCGAGGAGCTATAGTACGACCTAAAGGCTAGCGTCGAGCAGCTAGGCGGTCCTCGTTACCTAGCATACTCTCGGAGTTGTAATAGTCGCTATAATACTAGCGCTAGCGGCGGCGATTTATATCGATTATATAGTCTAGTAGGTCGGACGTCTAGCCTAGCAGATCTATATCCTCCGAAGTAATTATCTCTTTATTTTTATCGTCTAGTCGAGGCGGTAAGGCGGTATTATCTTCGTAATAGTCGAGTTTAGATATAGCTAGAATATTAGAGAGATACGAAGAAAAAGTATACTAAGTACTTCCGCCTAGACGACGATCGAGCTCGGAGATATTAGGCTAATTAGTTAAGTTAGAGTCACTTATATTAGCGATGTCGTATAAATCGTATAGATCGTATAGATCGTATAGGTATTAGCTAGTATTTAGTATTCGGAGTACCGACTCGAATTGCTAGCTAAAGTCGCGTCTACTATATAGCTATATCTTAGTAGCGAGATATCGTATATATATAGTCCTTACTACAAAGTTAGTCGAAAATACTAGAGCTAGAAGCGCGCGAGTATTTTAGATATATTAGGAGTAGTATATCTAGAGGCTTTTAAGCCGCTAGTAAATACTGTCGGCGGAGTAACGAGAACTTAGTACTACTATACTATATATACTCGTATATAGCAAGAAAGTAGGTCGGAAGTACTTTGCGAAGGGCCTCGAGTTAGTCTAGTTAAAAAAGGAGGATAGTACTACTACCTATTCTTTCGAGAAGCGGCGAGAACTTAGTAACGAGAAGTCGTATATACTTAGGCTTAGCGAGAAAGTCGGTCGGACAATGCCTATTAAGAACCTCTAAGTATTATCTTATTACGTAGCGAGATATTAAGAATCGATATATTTAGGTAGGTAGAAAGCTATAGAAGTAGGCTCGGCTAAATTAGTATAACTTAACGTATATACGTCGTAGAGACTTGATTTTTGAATCGCTATATTCGGAAATAGTAGCGCTATAAGCTCTAAGTGTTGCTTTAGTTAATTTCGCGTATCGCGTTATATTAGTATTTTAATAGCTATAAGTACTAAGAAACAAGACAGTTTAGCTTTAGGCCTTTAGGCGAAGGATTAGGTAGAGTAGTGTATAATTAGTTGCTCGGAAGTCGGCAAATGAACCCTAAATTATGCTATTACGTGCAATTCGAACCAATTCACTACCGCGGAACGTAATCCTTAATGCACAAAGGCCTGAACGGAGGTAGCCTTCTCCAGTACCCACAAACATGTTGCTGCCACATGGTTCGACGATTCCTCCTCATTGTCTCCGCAAACCCACTCCAATCCGTGACTTGCCCGCGCGCGTGGTAAGTTGCGTTCCCTGCCCACATGGCATATGAATGTCGTCCTGAACGTCGCTAGAAGCAGACCAGGGAGGAGGCCTGCTGAGTTGTGCTTCTCTCATCGTTACAATCCCTATAGCATCGACAAGATGGGTCCAGAGCACAGTCGGGCTTCGCTCGCCAGCATTGACAAAGACCCTGAGAAGGTTGAAGTCATTGAGCAATACAATGTCAACAAGTATGCCAACATCGGGCCATCCCATGAAGATACAGAGTTCTATGAGACATTTCCCGAGGACAAGAAGAAGAAGATGCTTAGAAAGGTGCGAGACGGAAGACGATTGACGGTGGAGGCAGGATGCTGACGGCAATCCAGATCGACGTTCGACTAGTACCTGTTCTCGCCCTGCTCTACCTCGCATCTCACATCAACCGTGCCAACATCGGTACGTTCTAACACATTGGAATCGTACGCTTTATCCAACACTGGCCTTGTAAAAATAGGTAACGCGAAAATCGAAGGCACGACCAAAGACCTCGGTCTCTCCGGCATCCAATACAATATCGCGCTTTCGATCTTCTTCATACCCTACATACTTCTCGAAGTCCCTTCCAATATCATCCTGAAGAAGTTCAAGCGTCCATCAACATATCTCGGCATCCTGGTCGTGGCCTGGGGAATCGTCATGACATTCCCTACATACTTCTCGAAGTCCCTTCCAATATCATCCTGAAGAAGTTCAAGCGTCCATCAACATATCTCGGCATCCTGGTCGTGGCCTGGGGAATCGTCATGACATTCACCGGCCTCGTCAAGAACTTCGCCGGACTCATGGTCGTGAGAATCATGCTTGGAATCGCTCGCTGAAGCCGGCTTCTTTCCTGGAGCTGTCTACCTCATTACACGATGGTATGCTCAGCGTCAGGTCCAGACTCGACTTGCCCTTTTCTACTGTGCCAGTGCTCTTTCAGGAGCCTTCTCTGGCTTGCTCGCTTTTGCTATCGCGAAAATGGACGGAGCTGGAAGGTGAGCCTGGTTGGGTTTGGATCTTCATGTAAGTACAAAACCACGCAGTTCCCTTGATTGGAGACTGACTGACATTTCAATTAGCCTCGAAGGTATTGCCACAGTCCTCGTCGGCGTGGCTTGCTTCTTTATCATGCCTGATACTCCAGCACTCTCCGGTCACTGGCTCAACTCAGAAGAACAACGATACCTGGAGATCCAAACAGCCATCAAAGAAGGCGGAAATTCCTCGATGGAGAAACGCGATAAGTTCAAATGGGGCTACCTCACCGACCTCCCCACCGACTACAAAGTCTACATACAAGCCTAAATCCTCTTTACCGCATCAGTCCTCGCATACGGCCTCAAATTCACCATGCCCAGTATCAGCAAGTCGATGGGCTACACCTCATCTCAAGCTCAGCTGTAAGCAGAAAAAGCCCCCTCCAACCCTCCAACCCACAGCACTATATCTACTAACCTCTCATCTCTCTCCCCGGAATGACAATCCCCCCCCCCTACGTCGCCGGGCGAATCTCGCCATCGTCCTCTCCAGACTCTCCGACCACTTCCAATGGCGCGCAATTTTCATTTTCTTTTTCGGCCAAATGGCCGTCGCTCTCGTGGGTTTCTGCATTTTGCTCCCTTTGGCCCCACACATCGCCTCACAAATCGGTCCGTGTTATTTCGCCGTCATGTTAATCTGTATCGGTCAATACCCCACCAACCCGGCCGGAAGTGCTTGGATTAGTTCGAATCTTGCGGGTGATACGAAGAGGGCGATGGGGATTGCTTTGAATATCTGTTTGGGGAATTCCGGGGGGGGGGGGGGGGGGGGGATTTTTTGGAATTTGGGCCTTTTTTTTTCTTCCCCCCCAAAAAAAAGTGGGGGGCTCTTTAAAAAAAATTTTGGATTTAACAAATCCTCCCCCAAAAAAAAAACCCCCCGGTTTCCCACAGGTTTTTGGAACGGGGTGGGAATTCCCGGCGCCAATTTCGTTTAGGCGAATGGGATTGAATTCCCCAAATGGAAGACTAAAAAAAGGCCGGAAAAACCTGATTAAAAAAAGGTTCCCAAGGAATTTTACAAAGAAAGATTTCGCGAGGTGGGGGAAAAAAGACCCTTGTT